GTGATTATGTTTTGGCTAAATCAAGAAACTGAAAAAGGAAAAAAAGGGCTTAGTAAAAATGAGTCAACATGAGGGCAAGGCTACATTCTGCTCTATTACAACCCAAAATTAAAAGTATTTAAAAAATAATTTTAATGTGTTGCCCAAGAAGCAACACTCATAGAATAATGCATGTAGTACTATCTTGTCATGGACACAGGGTTTTATCCTAAACATAACATATACAGAAAAAATGCACAATACAATAGACCATTACTCTTATAGGAAAGTAGAACAAATAATGTCACTAAAATATTTCAATTAATGTAATGAAGCATATAAAATGCTTATCTTTTTAAAATTTTAAAAGAGTTTGGGTGAAGTACTTAGAATAGGGAAGAAAATGATCACAAAGGGAAGCTATATGAATAACAACAAATTGTGAAGTCAGGGAATTAGCAAAAGAACGGAAAGAATAATCCTGAAGAATACAAAAGGGACAATGTGCTTAAGAAAATAATTAAGTGACATTATGTAATAAAATATGAGTTCTAAGAGAAATGGGGAGGAAAAAAATAGTTTGGAGAGACAAACACTGAAACTGTAGAGACAGACAGATCTTATTACAGACCCAATTGTCTCAAATTCTTTTTTGAAACTAGGTGTGTAATATCAATAAATGAACTAAAATTTTTAATATGGTTATAATCAGAATCCTTTCAAAAATAAAATGGGGATTGATACTAAATATATTTTTAGGAGACTGTACCCAATGGGTGACCAATCTCATCAATTTTCCTCTATCAATTTGAGCAAGCACAGTAATGTACTTCTAAGAGGACGCTTTTGGGCTTAAGTCCTTGTCATACAAAAAGGCAGTTCCAGAAATGCCAGTACAGGTCAAACCATTGGAAATGAAGCATGATTCAGAATTGCTGGATTTCAGATGGGCTGCTTTGGATTCTCAGGTTGGGTGCAGGGCCAGGTACCTTGTATGCCCATCCTTCACTATCTAAAGCCAGTTCAGAGTTGGAATGGGTGACAATTAAAACCAAGGCTGGAGACAGATGGGCTGGGCAAGAGAAACATGCAATTTATACAACATCTTTTTAATTTTACCAATTGATAAATTAATTTCATATTTCTCAAAAAGAAAACAAAGCGTTAGGTGAGTCTTAATCACTTGTAATTGTATAAAAGAACCGAAGGGACACTTGAAATATGAAGCCACAAACCTAATAGCACAGAGCACAGGCTTCCATGGCACCATCAACTTGGAACACTATCCTTCCTTCTAAAATAAAGTGATTGACACTAATGAATTATCAGAGCTAATAAAGAAACAGTCTGATCAAATCAGCATTGTCGGTTTTTCAAACAGGAGGAAATACTGCCAACAACCATTTTACATTTAGTGAGACAATTGGACAGTGGCAACAAGCCACAATGTTTGAAATTACGTTTCTTGCTGATTCTGGCTTGCACCAAATAAATGTGTATGCGGCCAGATCAAATGAAAATGACTTTTTCTTTATTTGGTCATTTGTAGTTTTATAGTACTGCAAAGAATGAACAATTAAGAGTCTGGCAAAGAAAAATAGCAGATATTAAACAAAAAATATACAAATTGTACAGTCATTAATGATTTTGAAATACTGTCCTTTACATTTAAAAAAATGGTTAAAGTGAGAAACAGTAAACTTAGTAAGATTATTAACAGTTCATTCTTTAGTGTAATTCTGGTTTGATTGTGTGGTGGTATTTTTTTCTTCATATCTCCTTTTGCCCCTGCAAGCTAGCACTTATTGCCTTATATGTAAATTTTTTGGATATAACTTTTTTCACATATATATATCTGAAGCATATCAGTTTTTTTATCAGTCACCATTTATACTACATCTCCATGCACGACATATAAATATTCATTCTCTAACTATTATGTGTTTGGCATTGACCAAATATTAAAAGCCAAGGTCACTCAGTCAAAATGAGCTCTCAAGAACCATCAAATAAATCAACTCAAACAAATTATTCACTGAGAAATTATCCTTCTTTCTGGTGGTTGTGGGAACAGTAGAGAATGGTCTGCTGCTACCATAAAATAGTGTAATAAATAAACAAGATGGCCGGTTGTCAAGGGGTAAAAATTACACCATTGAAAATGCAATTGGGTTTCAGAGACCTTCATACTTAAACTCTTTGCAGGAAGGAGAAAGAGTATTTTATAGTTCATCCCTAAAGTTCACATTTTTTAAACCATAATTGAGAAGGAAAGATTAATCACTACTTTTGTAACAGAATTTAAAAAATATATATCAACAATTTAAGCTTGTATTCAGCAGTAAAATTATATGTTTCATTTAGCTGCAGAATTCTGTTTAGCTAATAAAATCATTTAGCATGGTAGCTAAAATTAAAACTGAAATATTTATTTAGTTGTTGTTAAGTGGTGTCCATTATTTACACATTAGCATATTCAAGTATTCTATTTTAGAAATAAGGTTATAATCAAAGTAGTCAAAATAGACAAGGTACACCAAATTGCCTACAATTTAACAAACATTTGAACAATCTTTACTATGTACAGAGCAAATACGTTTTAGTCATGATTATTAAAATACAAAAATGTATGGCTTAACGGTGACATATTATATCCCTTTGATCAAATATTTGTACCCAGGTCATGGTAAAGTAAATGTTTTGCTTATTTTTTGTTGAATTTTGTTTTGTTTTGCCTTGTTTTTTTCTAATATCAGATACATCTCAAGTCTGGCTATATGGTTTCTGAGTGAAAGTGACAGGGAGACCCAAGGAGTTTCATATCAATAGAAAGAAAACTCAAAAATAACTAAAAATCAAGGAAAAATGTCTTCACCCAAACTGGAGCAGTCTGATGCAACAGCAAGGGGCTAAAATGCTCCCGGCTCGTCCACTGAGAACCTTTGGATTTTAGGAAGAGGTTCACATAGATTTAATGGTATCTGGCCTACAGTGAAAATCTTTGTAGCAAACTTTTTGTACATATGACATTTTCTGGGGAGAGAGAACCTACTTTTCTTCTGATTTTGAAAGGGATCTCTACCTAAAAAATAAGAGTAATATAATTCTAATGATCACCCATTAGGATATCATGTGACCTTCAAGAAGTAGACTGTGTTACTTGAGATGCATATAGAAGTTATAATGCTAAAATATTGTGTTTATTTATGGATTTAAAAAAATAAACTCAACTGTTTAAACTATAATAGGACTTGGCATTTAAAATTCCAGTAATATTGATAGTTCTGTTTTTGCTGATTTTATTTCTTTAAAATAATATCCTTTGTGTCATTATTACAAATGCAATATATGTTTGTTATCAAAAAAATCTGACTTAGACTTGACCCTTCCTGTACACGCTACAGATGACCCATGGACAGGGACGGGGGGTGGGGATTGTCTTTGGGAACAGTGGTTGGACGGGGCAGAGGAAAGCTATGGGGGTAAAATGTGGACAACTGTAACTGAACAACAATAAAAAAATAAAAAGAGAAAAAAATTTGACTTAGAAAAGCAATTTCTAAATCATTTATAATTCTATCATGCATTGTTAGTATTTCACAGTATATTTTTGAGGTTCCTTCCTATGAATGACAGTTATTCCCTTATAGATGAATAAATCTTTATGTTATAAAATAATGATCTCCTTTTGTTCTCTGAAAGTTTTAAGTATTATACACAGTGCCAACTGAATTTTCTTAAGTATAAAAATTAGAACATTCTACAGAGGTAAAATAGATGCTTAAAAGAAATCCTTGCAGAAAAGATAGCCCTAACATTCACAGAATATTTTGTCCTTTATTTATACCAGCTCTGTTCTTTTGCAAAATGTCATATACTTGGTGACTCAGGGTCTAAGCCCAAAATATTCTAAAAATAGTGAATTAGAAGTGGAGGTCAGAGTGATTGCTACAGGAGTCACACTGACAACAGTGAAATAGAAGCTTGACAAAAGTAGAAAAGAAGAAAACTAGATAGAAACTGACAAATGTAATAAAGCAGAACAATGAGGCCATTTAGTGTGGAAGCAAACAGCTCTACACAACAGCTCAATTGTTCCTGAGGTACACAGTTTTACAGCCACTATAATAAAAGTCATGAGAACAATTGAGGTGGTGGGGGAGGGGGTGTAGCATTCTCTTGGTTAAGAAGCAACCAAGGTAGTAAAAAAAAAAACTTTTAAACTTTCAAGTACTGAAAATGCTTGGCTCTTTAGAATGGTCTACTTACTTTCCAAGGATTCCTATAGTCAGAATATCAGCTTTTGCACTGAGAAGTGAACTACAAATGACTCATTAAAGACCTGATAATAAAGTGCATGACTCAAAGAGAAGGAGGGTTCATTCTTTAATTACAATACTGATCTTTGTATTTGTTTAATAAAGACAAATTAGAAGCCTAACTGAAAGATTTATATGTAGATAATGTGGAAATGAAGATAATTATTAGGGTGATGTCAGAATTCTGCTGAAAGAGATATATTCAAATGTGAAGAAACTGAAATACAAACTATGAAAATAATCTTGTCATCTTTAATCTAGGATGAACCAACACTTCAGTGAAATGGGATGAAGCCCATACCTTATAGGAACCAAACCCCAAGAAGAAACTTCTGGGCAAGTCTTGTTTGAACTGACTAAATATTAGGTACAAGTGTTTAAAAAAAAATCCCTGAATTGTATTTTTCCATATGGAACATATAAATAATAATTAAAGCTTGAAATTATAAATCTCTTTGATAAAAGATGGTAGGTAGAACATTCTTTAAAACTTACATGTTGCCTTATGCTTATAAGTACACCTCATTCCTGTTGACATGGTAGGCAAAATTCTACTAATCCCTTCTCATGATAATTCTCTGTAGAGAGGGAGGCTCTGCATTACCATAGTTAGCATACTACATAATTGTATCCAATTCGTGTTGAAATTTAGTTGAACAATTTTTCATTTTCTAAAATTACTATAATTTAAATAAAAATTACCTTTAAGGTTGTTTTGAACTTCTAAAGCTATATCGAGAGCATTAAAGGGCAGAACTGGTTCATTGGCAATTTGTAAAATCACTTCTCCTGAGAGCTGAAAGAAAAAAAGAAAGGAAATACTAGCATTCAGTATTAAGGGTTTTTTTTTTTTTCATTATTCTATACACTCATACATCCAGAGTAGCAAAAACACAGAGTAGAAATTGTACTTTTATAAAATCTTTTTCTTTTAAACCTCTTTCTTATTTTTTCTAAAAAGAAAAAAGAAAAAAAACTCAGTATCTATTTTATGTCTCAAGCTAGAATAAATATATATTTTTCATTTTTTGACCTAAATATTAAGAAAATGCTTCCCTATTTGGAGTTGTATTTAAACTTTTAAACAATTCCTTATAAAACAGTTCAAAATGTCACATGATAAAATGAACAATACAGAGAAACTGAAAATCAATATCTGGCTATTGAACTAAGTAAAACTTCAGACAAAATTAATTATCAATTGATTTCATTTAAAATATAATTCAGTCTACAAAATTCTTTCAAAATCTTAGGCACTCTTTTCCTTTATGTATTTCCTGTATTACTAATTACTTTTTAAAAATTTATCAAAACTAATAATATTTATACATCTTTAAGGTCAATGTTTAAATTAAATTAAAAAAAATATAAAATTCTAAATGGCATCCCCAAAACTCATGCCTGGACAATTGTGCTTGAAAATCAACATATACACTGCAGCTGAACTAGCATCTACTTAATAGACTGAAGAGATCATATGTACTCATACATTTCAAAGTACTTCGGACTGGTGGTAAATGGTGTTGTTAGTTTCCCTCTCTCTCTTAACTTACCGATATTTAATATTTATCAGGGATATATAAATGTCCCTACATATCCTAGAGTCCTAAAGCTAGCACACAGTGAAATGTGACTGGGTTGATGTTACTAATAAATTATGAAATCTTATTAGTGAATGAAAACATTCTTATGAAACTACACAAGGGAAATTAGCACACTAATTTGAGACAGTACAGAACACATAAGAGATATAAATTACAAAGAAAATATGATGTTAAATATTCAAATCCACATATTCAACAAGGGTCAAAGTCCATTTAATATTTAAACATTATATTTTCTAATAATTGACACTTTATATTATAATAAAAATGCAATTCAGTTTGATCTTCTATATGCTTGGAGAAACACATTTCTTAGAGATAAAGAGGAAAAGAAAAATTTTGACATCCCTTTATTTCTTTGATATATTTTTCTCCCAAATGTAGCAACCACTTCTTCCCCAGTGCCCCAGGCACCTTTGCAGTTTTATCACCAGCATAGCAATCACAAAAATCTTGGAAAGTACCTACCCTGATTATGCTGCTTTTTCAGAAAAAAGCATTATCTGCAGTAGACTGATATGAATCCTGTTTCCTTTCCATCCCACCCTATCCAAATCATTCAAGGAACACTGACATTTGGAAATAAATTATTTGCAAAGAAGAAATTTTTAAAGATTAGGAAGCATTATCATTTACTTTTCCAATTTGCACTGGATAATAGAAACTACAAAACAAACATGTTTTGTTTATACTTTTAGAATCTGGAAACCACACATTACAAAATATTAAAATGAAAGAACGGGGAGGAAGGAGAAAGGCAACTTCCCTGCGTCCTGCTGGAGACAGTTGTTTTGTTTTCCTTTCTTAAGAGTCATTTGGCAACTCAAGCAAGTAGAATATAAGCCAGTCACCTTCCTATTTCTTTCAGAAAGAACCTGGCAACAAATGCTAGATTTTTAAGTCACCTGGTCCATGATAGACTGCTTAGACTAAATTGGCTTTATTTGTAGTTGCACAAACAAGAGGGAGATTTGTGTATGCCTTGACTTTTAAGTGAGAAGAGATGAGAAATACTGTACACACTTCTCATCTTCTTTGGAATTCAACCTTATTCAGTCATGCCAAACCAACCTTCCCTTATATTTATATAAAGCTCCATTCTTTTCAAAGTGCTTTATACCTAAATATCTCATTTCATTATTTTGACCAGCCTAGAGGCGGTTAGTGGGGGATTTAATCCCGTGTTAAAGACATTGAGTATAAGCATTGCTGGGTTCCAGTATGATGGCAACATAGGAAGCTGTTTAACTCTCCTCCTCTTTTGAACACAATGAACCTACAGCTACACATGAAATAACTTCCCCTGAAAAAATATAGGTACTACTTGAGTGATTCCTAGACTAAAGAGGGAAAAAAAAACACATAAAAATGGATAAGAAAGTCTGAGACATACTCAAGCCATAAAACTCACTGCATTACAGGAACATACAACCAGGCATAAGCTCATAACTTCTAGCTTTCCCGGGGAAGAGAAGGATATGAATCCAACATTAGTGCCCTAATTTTAAGATTTTTATTTGAGGGATAGAACCCCAAATCTCTAGCCCTAAAGACCAGTGGGATTTGTGTCCATAACAGTTCCTAAACATCTTGAGAGGACTAGCTATGGCTCTTTTACCATAGTGGAAGCTTTGCACTTTACCAGTGCAAAGACAGCAGGTAAAACAAACAAACAAACAAAACAACAACAACAACAAAACAAACAAAGACCATCTCCCAGTCTTCCCCTGAACAAGGACTTTTGGCACATCTTAAAATCCATAGCATGAGGGTCAATTTTCTAATTTAACACACATCTATAGGCCAACTAAAATCCTCTTTGGAGACTGGTAAGAGCCATCTTTGTGTGCTCCTTCTGCTCTCCTCTAAGTCACTCGTGTCTCACTGAAAAAAATTATGCACATGTCTGGTGCCTGGCTTTTGTGGTTAATACCCAAGGGATTCATCCCTTGATCACTTGGCTATGGTAGTCAGTGTGGCTTGCATTCACAGGTCCCACAGAATGTGGCAAATGAACAAACAAAAAACTCCCTTCTTAACTGGCTATCTCTCCAGGGCTCAGTACAGAGGTAGCAAAGTGAAATGTGCATCTCCTTGCTTTTTTTTTCTGAAAGAAATTTATTACATGCTTCAAAATTTGCTGCCTAGGCATTTGACTTCCAGTAAGCCTGCATCTAAGTGCTGACTGAGTCCTACCTTTGGAACACTGACAGATCTTGGCACACCCTCAACTTGTAAGAGCCACCAAAAATGAAGATTTCACCTTGGACAAAAATCAAAAATATTTGAAAACAAACCAAGCACTAGGACCAGACTGAATGGTAAGGTTCATTTCCTACAGGGAACCATTTCATCAAGAATAGGAGAGATAGCTACTTTATCTCATATATGGAAGCAAACACAGATAGTCAAGGAAAATGAAGAAACAAAGAAATATGCTTTAACCAAAGAAAAAGATAAAACCCCAGAAACAGAGTTTAATAAAAAGAAGACAAGTGACTTACCTGATCAAGAGTTCAAACTAATGTTCATAATTTTGTTTACCAAGATCAGGAGAACAATGCATAAATATAGTGATAATTTCAAAAGAGAAGTAGAAAATATAGAAACCACAGAGCTGAAGAATACAATAATTGAACTTAAAAATTAAATAGAGGGATTTAATAACAGATGAGATTAACTAGAATAAAGGATTGGCAAACTAAAATACAGGGCAGTGGATTCATCCAATCAGAAAAGCAAAAAGAGTGAAAAAAGAGTAAAGATAGCTTAAGGACATAAGGGATACCATCAAATGGATCAACATGAGTGTTATAGGGGACCCAGATGGAGAAAAGAAAGAGAAAGGGGCAGAAAGCTTATTCAAAGAATAATATTTGAACATTTCCAAACTTGGGGAGAGAAACAAACATCCAGAACTAGGAATCCTACACAGTTTCCCCCCCCCCCAAAAGGATAAATCAAAAGAGACCGACACCAAGACACATTATAATTAAATTGTCAAAAGTTAAAGACAAGAAGAACATCTTAAAACAGCAGGGGGACAACAATTTGTTACATACAGCAAACCTCCATAAGACAATCAGCAAATTTATCAACAGGAACTTTGTAAGTCAGGAAAGCCTGGAATGGTATATTTAAAGTGCTAAAAAAAATGCCAATCAAGAATATGCTACCCAGCAGAATTGTCCTTTACTATTGAAAGACAGAGTTCTCCAACAAGTAAAAGCTGAGAAACTTTAGTACCACTCGTCTAACTTTACAAAAAATGGTAGAGGAAATTTTTCAAGCTGAAACAAAAGGACACTAATTAGGAAGAGAATAATATATGAAATTATAAATTTTACTGGTTAAGATAAGTATAGAGTTAAGTCTAGAATCTTCTAATTTCTGATGGTGGTGAATAAATCTCTTGTAAATATGGTGTAAAGGCTAAATAACAAAGATGTTACGATTACTATAAACATTAATTTTTCATGACTATACAAGGTTAAAGATGCAAATTGGGATGTCAAAACATAAAATGTGCAAGAAGCGAGAGGGTTAAAATGTAGAGCTTTAGTGTGCATTTGAACTAAAGTGTTTTTAAGCTTCAGACAGACTGCTATAAATATAAGATATTTTTATAAAAACCTCATGGTATTCACAAACCTATGGAAGATACACAGAAATAAAGAGGAATAACTCTAAGTGTACCACTACAGAAAATTACCAAATTACAAAGGAAGAGAACAAGAGAAGAATAAAGGCACAAAGGAATTCCAAAACAGCCAGAAAACAATTAACCAATAGTAGGTCCAGAACTATCAGTAATTACCTTAAATATAAATGTACTAAATGCTGCAATAAAAATATATAGAATGGCTGGATGAATGAAAACACAGGAGTCAATTATATCCTGTCCACCAGAGACTTACTTCATCTTTATGGATAAAAACAGACTGAAAGTCAAAGGATGAAAAAAGATATTATGTAGATGAAAACTCAAAGAAAGGGCAGGTACCTATATTTATATAAGACATAGACATAATAGACAAAGAAGATCATTATATAATGATAAATGGATCAATCCAACAAGAAGATATAGCATTTATAAATGTTATGATCAAACAAAGGAACATCTAAGGATGTACAGTAAATATTCAGACCTAAAGTGAGGAAAATAGCAATGCCATAATAGTGTCCCACTTTC